ACACTGTTATTATTCTCTTCCCCTTTTAAAAAAACTGTCATTGCTCCTCTTTCTCTTTTTATGCCTGCTGCTATCAGATTCTGATTCTAGTGATGATATAGAAGGTAAGAGTATTTTGAAATGACAGTGGAAAACCTTTCCATGAATGCTACACTCTCCTTCCTGCACACATTCACTCCTGTTAACTCCTGCAAACCCTCTTGTATATGTGGGTTTTTTAAAACTTGTATTTCATTATTATAGTGTCAACAATATTGTGCCAAAAGGCTCTGCTCTGTAACTCGAAGTTTTTTGCTATTTTAAAGTCATATTTTAATGTTATGTGGAATAAAATTATACTTAGCTTTCCAAGGTCAGCCATATTGCCTGCCCGCCATTTTAAATTTTGTTGAAAACATACAATTTTGAACTCATCCTAGAGCTTTCATTACATCATCCCAAAATTTGTGTCATATAATGTTGCGGCAGTGGCAGTGCAAAGTCATTCACAGCTCTTTTTTTTCTTATTTCTTATAGAGCAACATGGTTTTGTGGGAAAAGGAGACAGAGGAGGAGGATTGATTTCTCCTTTGCAGTATCAATACTCTCCTGCTTTTGAAAGACCAGTTGCTCCTGCCCACAGTTTCAACCCACCTCAAGCAGTTAACAATGCTAGTTCTGATAGGTAAGTGTTATCTGAACACTGTCCCTTTTTTTCAAATTTAACATATATGTATGTAATGTATTTGTCTGATTGAATGTATATGATTAATTTTATATGATTAATTTTATATTTTATATGACGTGCTGAAATCGCATTTGGTCTCGTACTGTATCGCGTACCTTGTCAGTGTCGTGCGCTTTGCTTGGCCATTTGTTGTGATAAACAGGAAAGTGTGTTCAAGCGCCAGCAAAACACAGTGTAAAGAAATACTCTTTGAGAGAAGCAGTCAATCAGCAGAAGTTAAAAGCAGCTCGTTAGTGTATTTATTTATTTTCTCAGTGTTTAGTGCAGTTGTCGTTGCTAGGAAATGCTTGTTTTGTTTACTGTGTGGAGACGTGCTGAAATCGCATTTGGTCTCGTACTGTATCGCGTACCTTGTCAGTATCGTGTGCTTTGCTTGGCCATTTTGTTGTGATAAACAGGAAAGTGTGTTCAAGTGCCAGCAAAACAGTGTAAAGAAATACTCTTTGTGAGAAGCAGTCAATCAGCAGAAGTTTAAAGCAAATTGTAATTGTATTTATTTATTGTCTCAGTGTTTAGTGCAGTTGTCGTTGCTAGGACATGCTTGTTTTGTTTACTGTGTGGAGACGTGCTGAAATCGCATTTGGTCTCGTACTGTATCGCGTACCTTGTCAGTATCGTGTGCTTTGCTTGGCCATTTTGTTGTGATAAACAGGAAAGTGTGTTCAAGTGCCAGCAAAACAGTGTAAAGAAATACTCTTTGTGAGAAGCAGTCAATCAGCAGAAGTTTAAAGCAGCTTAGCTTTGTAACGAATCAGCTCATGAGGAAATATGAATAATTAACCATAAATATTCAGGGACCCACCAAATACCTCGTCAAAAGAAAAAGAAACAGTGGGAATTGTTTCTAGTTTTATGTTAGCCTACATTGTGTTGCAATGGTAGCTGCCCTTCAACGTATTAGGCCTGGCACTGAGGCGTGAGGAGAAGTCGAGAGGAAACAGGGATTATGCTACTAATAACCTGTATAACTCGTTAAGGAAACAACAGTTGCTAGAACTACTGTAATCCTATACAAAAAGCGAAGATGGTGATGGTGAAATAACTAAAATAAGGTAAAAGTAAAACACAACAAACAAAAATTAAAATAAAAAAGGGGTCCTAAGAGCTATAGGAAATTAAAAGGGAAAGTAAATTTAAAAAAATAAATAAAAATAAATTAAATTAAATTAAAAAAATTAAAATTTGATTTAATTAAATCTCAAATGTAATACAAATTAATGTAGCTGAATTGGTACATTTGTGCTAAACAAATGTAAATAAATGCAATAAAATTAAAAAGAGGTAGAATAAAGTCAAAACAAAAATAAACTGAAGAGTGTTGAACTTTCTTCTCCTGCATTCTATGCTTCATGCAATTCAGAATGGCTGAGGCATATTCGTTTCCCTTTTGGTGTGAAATCGCGTTTGGTCTCGTACTGTATTGCGTACCTTGTCAGTGTCGTGCACTTTGCTTGGCCATTTGTTGTGATAAACAGGAAAGTGTGTCCAGCTGAATTCAGTTTGAATTTTGTTAGACAAATATAAAAAGCTTAGTATACCGCGGTAGCGGTCGCGGCACCCCTCGTGTGAAGACCGAAGAGTGTAAAAACCATTTACTCTACCGTTCGGCTCCAGCAAGCAGGGACACCGGCAAGGCACATAAGTATCGCTTCTGAATCATTCTCTT